AAACTACACACACCGTTTTCTTTTGGCTTAAAAATACCCGAACTGACCATTTAAATAAAATTAAAAAAGGTCAAAATTGAACTGTCAATTTAGTTAAAAATACACTCCTTTAATTAACAACATATCAAATTATAGAGATCACCCATCTCCAAAGATAAAAATCCAAATTAAATAATAAAATCCACACCTAATCTCCTTCCATCTTTTCCAATGAGCTTTATCTTCTTTTTGACAATGGGTTGGAATTTTCGAAGACGCTTAACTTTTCTTTCCGTCTGCCTCTCAAATAAAAAAAGATAAATGTGAAAAGTAGATAAAACTCATTGGAAAAGACGGAACGAGATTAGGTGTGGATTTTATTATTAAATTTGGGTTTGTATCTTTGGAAATGGGTGATTCCTATAATTTAATATGTGGTTAATTAAAGGAGTGTATTTTTAACTAAATTGACAGTTCAATTTTGACCTTTTCCATTTTTATTTAAATGGTAAGTTAGTGGTCAGTTATAGCACTTATAGCCACGATGGTTGAGAGGCAGACGGAAAGAAAAGCTAAGCGTCTTCGAACTGACAATGGGTTGGAATTTTGCAATTTTGAGTTCGATAATTTCTGCAGCAGAGAGGCATAGTGAGACACCGCACTTGTGTCGGAACACCACAATAAAATAGTGTTGCAGAACGTATGAATAGAACGTTTTGTGATAGGGCATGAAGCATGCTTTCACACTCATGTGTTAGCAAGGATTTTTGGACTGAAGCAATCAATACAGCTTGTTATTTGGTCAATAGATCTCCATCCACAGCTATTAAGTTCAAAACTCCTTTTGAGGTATGGTCCGGTTCGCCTACTGATTATTCAAATTTAATGATATTTGGTTGTCCTACTTATGCTCATTTGAGAGATGGAAAACTTGAGCCGAGGGCAAAGAAGTGCATATTTCTAGGATATGCAACTAGAGTGAAAGGTTATAGGTTGTGGTGCACATATCAAAAGACTCCGGAGCGAATTATCAGTAGGGATGTAACATTCAATGAGTCTGCCTCACTGGACAGTTAGAGGGATAAGGCAATAGCAGAAACAGATCGAGGTGTCAGCGACCGTATAAAGCTAGAAATTGAATCTCTACTAGCTCAGCCCAGTAGTTCTAAGGCAGATAAAGTGGAGGAGGTACAAAATATTGATCAAGATGATAATGTTGATGCACCTGCGCAACAACAACCATATAGAATTGCAACATGCAGAGAGAAGAGAGTGATCAACCGACCGCAAAGTTTTGCAAACGTCGTTGATAGGAATCTTCTTGGATATACGAATCCTGTGGGATTTGCTTTAGTAGTTGCAGAGACTGTTGATACGTTTGAGTGTTATAGTTATCCAGAAGCTATTCCGGGTACATAAACAAATTGACGGATTAGTGTTATGGCTGAAGAGATTGAGTCTCTTAACAAGTTTAGGCGTTGCCTCGACTTGGTTGATGTGTGCGGCAATGGGTAGAGCCCCCGTGAGGGCTGAGGGCAAGGTAGAGAGACGTTGTTCCTGTTGATGAAGAGAATTCAAGCCAAGGGGAAGATTTGTTATTTTGTGGCTTGAATTATTTCATTGGATTTTTAGGAAACTCATAATCCCTATAGGTTTAGGAAAATCCATTGTCCTAATAGATTTGGGAAAGGAAAACCTATAGTCCATGTCAAATTGGAAAACCTTTCTCTTATAGGTTTAGGTCTATTTGGGATCTATATATAGGGATTATAGTTGGGGATTCTATAGATTATACTGTGCTTTTCTTCTCATTCATAGTGGAAAACTCTCTCTGCTTCTGCCCCGAGGATTTGGCTTTGCCGAACCTCGTTAAATCCTTGTGTTGATTCTTCTCTATTTGCTTTGTGTGTGATTGTGTGATAGTTAACTCACGATCTTCCGCAACAGTATCCATAAGTTACAATGTATTTAAAGATAATTCACCCAAACTTCGGGACTAAGTATCCTGAATTTTTGTATCTTGAATTTTTGAGCTACTAATTTGAATTTCAGAACTAAGTGTCCCGAATTTCTGAACTGTTTATTTAAAATTTAGGACATAAGATTCGAATTTTCGGATACGATTTTCGAACTTTAGGACACGAGTCCTGAAGTTTGAACTTTGAGGTTTAAACTTCAGGACGTCGTGTCCTAAAATTTAAGCGAATCGGCTAATATTTAAATACACTATTAACTGTGAATATATTTTAAATAGCATACTTAAAATGGCTACCTAGTGTCATTTCCACCAATTTTGGCCTTTTTCTACTTTGTCTTAAATGGTCCGCTAGTTTTTAGAGTATTTTTTTAGCCACAAGAAAATAGCAGCGGCATTTATGGCTTAATAGATAGACGAAGGATATTTTTATCCAAAGTTAGTCTGTTAAGGGCAGTTTTGGGCCTTTTCCGATCTGTTTATTGTTCTTCAAGGGAAAT